TGTTTGGCTATTCGATCATGATGGGCGATACCAGTTTATGGATCAAGAAGGTTGGAGGCTGAAAGAGTGCATCTTGTGGAAGTACCACCTGGAATCATGGAAGCTCAAGAATGGGGCGAATGGGGCGTCATGAGAATTGCCGTCAAAATAATAGAGGCAGTGATACCGTTGCGCCTGACAGGAAAACATGGCACCACTGGGTCGCCCGACTATTCACAATAGCACGTTCAACCAGGTATCAAATCAGAAGAACAAACACATGCTTTAAATAGTCTTTATGTTCTTTCATGCTGCAAGAGTTGTGTGCCGATTCACTGTAGGAAAACTCACAATTCAAAGTTCCCAAACCAGGGCGCAGGCGCACCTGACCCGCAAATGGCAAAAGTACTGCACCTGACCCGCGAAGCGACCAAGCGACCACCTGACCGCATGAGGACGACTTTCAACGTAAACATAGACGTAAAAGCATCCGTTCAACGTAAGAGGCCGTAAGAAAATGTAAGAACCCTGTTGTCTACTGTAGACTGTGTACGAACCCCTAGTCGTTGCGAGCAACCTCTTTGGGGAATGAAACCTTGAATAGTCCTTGAATCACTGATGCAAATGCAAAAGCACATATTATATGTATATCATATTGTATCATTATCCATCATAAAGGCAGTCCTTTTCTAACTTCGGCTGTTCAACCAAATTGTTGTCGTAATGAATTCTTCAGGGATGTTAGAGAGTCTGAGTAAGATTGGGTCTTGGTCTGGTCTTTCGAACAACATTTCACTCAACTGGATACTGTGAGAAGTGACGTTCTTTGTTAAACGCTGTCCGTTGCCCACAACGGTCTCCAATTGAGACACAGATGCCCAACAGATTGAATCGGCCGAGTATTGCACTCGCTTGAGGCTTAAAGCTCTCGCTCTCGTTGGGTGGTGCACTGGTGGAGTCAGGGCCTGAAAGCAAGCCTGTGGGAAAAGCACCGGCGTTGGCGGCGTTCGATGCTCCTGTCGTCATCCCAACAGTTCGCAGTTGAGGTGACAAAGAGAGAGCTGGGAGAGGGGCCGTCGAGGCCCATTTCACGAAATCGGAAGCCAAGAGCGGCCCTCAACTGTAATGTTAACCCCGGATGGTCCAGAAAGTCTAAGGTACCATTCATGAGGTCCACCTCCCCTGAATAATCTGCTAATCAGCTAAGAAGGGAGTAGTGGTAGTGGTAGTGGTAGTGGTAGTGGTAGTGGTGGTAGTAGTAGTAGGAGTAGTAGCAGTAGGAGTAGGAGTAGGAGGAGGAGTAGGAGTACTGTAGGAGTAGGAGTAGTAGCAGCAGTAGCAGAAGCAGTAGCAGTAGCAGAAGCAGTAGTAGTAGTAGTAGTAGAAGTAGGAGTAGGAGTAGGAGTAGGAGTAGGAGTAATTAGCAGTAGCAGCAGCGGCAGTAGTAATAGTAGAAAAATTGACCTGGCTGTGGGCTCGGATTGACTAGGGGAGGTTTATCTCCTCCCAGTTTTGCTCCTGGTTGTTCCTTTCATCCGTACCACTGGCGCCCGAAATCATTTGGGACAATTTCTTCCAACACAGGATAGAGAGGAAAACGATTGGCATCCACGGCTCAATTGGCAAGGCCAACCCACCAATTTTGCTGCAAGAAACAATGGTGTTACGTGTTGGTGTCATTGTTTTGCGTCAAACAAATATTGTTTGGGAACATGTGGAGTCGAGTCTGACAAGATTTACACCCAATGCCAAAGGGAGATGAGAAACAACCTTTGCATGCTTCGGAACAGCGATAATACTGCAGTCCGGCCAACAAACAAACAAACATACAGGTAGTTTCAAACAAAGAAACCAAGAAGCAATCAATCAATCAACCAATCAATCAATCAATCAGTCAATCAAAGTAACAAACAAAAAAACAATCAACAAACAAACAAAGACAAGAGCCCCCAAGCACACACAAACAGGCAAACTACGATGACATGTCATGAGGGTGTTAGACTGCGCCACATGAAACTTCGCCGATGTCTCAGGACATGTCCAGGCACACTTCGGAGCCCAAAAACAGGGCGGCTCAAACTCGCCCAGATCTCCGAAGGGGTCTCAAAAGATTAAACACATACTTAAAGCTACTTATAATAAAGCTACTTATAGTCTGCGCTGTGTCTATTCACATCTATCAACCACCACCTTTGGTGGGTCTTTGGGTCCGTCAGGTTGGAACCCTCGGAGCTCTTACCGCACCTGGCGTCTCGGTGGACCAAAAAGACCGAACGCGATGACCGAACGGGGTGGAAGAGACAGACAAGTGATTTGGTCCACGCGATGATGGTAGGAATGGATCAAGGGATTTTGTTTAATTTGTGGTTTCTTTTTGCTCTTTGACCACCTTCATGAACAAGATTTAAATGTGGAACACTCAGAACTATTATCCCTTGGTCTTGCTTGTCCCGACGAGATTGTCTTTAAATGAGGTTGATGATTGTAATTACCAACCACGAACAGATCTTCCCGCATGTCATTTGCACTTCCGCCTTGGAGAAAATGGACAGTGACCTTAAAGATCCTTAAAGTGGCCTATTCTAGCAGACTACTGAAGCTGATCAAGACTAAAAGGTTATTCAGTTATACTGTTATATGTTTGTTTCTCTCTGAAGCCTGAACCACTCTGGTTCAGTTCCCCCAAGAGGGAATCCAGTCCAGACCATCAGGTGGAAAGAAGTACCCGACCACGTTCACCAAGGGTTCCCTCTTTCAATCGATACCAAACCACCGCCGTGCCCAGCCAAGGCACGCTTGCTGGCGGTGGGTGGTCGCCGTCAAGCTCGCCTGGCGGCAGGAGAGTGAGAATCGCCCAGATGGGTTCCAGATGGGCGGCTCGCTAGCGGGTTGAGGACTCACAGGTGGAGTGTTTTGTTGTCAGCACTAGAAAGATCACACACTCATACAACATCGTAGGATGACAGATGACATGGCCAGCATGATTTCTGATGAACTTTTTGTTCCACTAAGTCGCTGGGCTGAACACCTTGGGAATTCAGGGTCAGATTCTGTGGCAGTCTCTAAAGGGTCTTCCACCCCGCAGTGCGAAAGCCTAGTGTTTGGTGCATACGGAGATCCGGTCCTTGGACCTGCTCGACAGATGGTGCATGTAGCTCGACAGATGTCGAGCTCGACAGGTCCAGCATGTTATGAGATGTGAATTCACAGAGCGCCCTAGGGCGCCCTAGGGCTACCAGCCAGCTTTGAACAGTTGGAGCGGTACCACTCCCAGGTCGCTCCACGCGCTGCTCCGGCACATCATAGGCGCTGAGCTGACGGGGATGATTTACACATCAAAGGCGTCATAGGTTGTTGTGGTTGAAATTGCATTGGGTTTCGCAGCAATGAACAGCACACAGCCATCCACCACGGAGATTTAGCAATGTTATACTTCAGTATAGCAATAATAGTACGTAATTAGTACTAATATGGTGTGTGTCGCTGCCTTTTTTAATTGTTGAGTATTGTTATAAGATGTTATTTTACCATGCATGTCAGCGTCGCTGCGGCCAGAAGCGGATTCCCCAGCTTGGATTTGTTGAAGAGATCATGTAGTCTATGTGCACGGATAATGCCAATGCTTATGAGTGGAACCCGTGTTGTTGACTGACATCACAGTATGCACAAGAGCCTAGCCCGGCAGCGCTGCCTTTAGCAAAAACACTTGCTCTCCTGCTTTCAAAGAGGCTTGCCTGCAGAACGAACATCAATAAATCAATAAACTATAATTAACTTATTCCAAGTCTCTGCCAAGTTTGAACCACATTCACAAGCAACATTGCGAAGCTCGAGCACCGCGGACAAATGAAAAGCGTGGATGCTTTGACAAATAGCACTTCGACCACAAGGTCCCTCGTTCAACATTATCTTGGACTGTGGAAGGGAGAGCATTGAAAACACCGCTTAATAGAGGCAACAAGTTCTATGATTCGGCATGGCTGGCTAGTGTCTGGTCTTTGCTTGCTTGCCAAAGGGTGGTTCAGGTTTGACTGCCGTGGAGCTTTTGCAAAGCCTCTGAAAAGTGCGCACCTTATTCTTTGCCTTTTCAAGGGCCACATCAGCACCGCAAGCTGGCAATCATATGCATTTTGGCCTTCAAACCCTGAACAGCAACCCATTCCAGCAGTTGCCGTTTTTGTGTTTTCAAGGAACACACCTTACATCAGCATTGTTTCGCAGAAGCTGGAGATTCATTCGCGTGCAAACCACAAAATCCTTGAACTACAGACATCGATGACCACAAGGCTCCAAGGGTTGCTGAACATCTTTCGCATGTGTCAATTTTTGTCATTTGACACACGCAGGGATATTAGCTGGTGGCTAACAAGCAAATACAATCAAGCCACATCAAACCTGGTTATATGATCTTGAGCTCTAAAAACAGATCCACGCACACACACTCACTTGGTGTGTGTGTGTGTGTTTTCCACCGAACGGCAGGGACTTCGGCATGCGTAGTTCTTTAATGCTGTGCTGTTCAGGGTACGAATGGAACGAATGATTACGAATGATTTGTGTTTGTTTTTTCAATTGCAGGATGTTCATGATCCTCCATTCTCCTCCACCAGTCGCACCAGGCAATGACTCCCCGAGTCCAGAGGCCGATGGGGAGGCACGATCCGGCTCCGCTTCGGAGAGATCCCGCGGGAAGTCGCCGTTCGCTCAACACATCCGTTCCACGTGGAGGGCGTCCCAAAAGGAAGAGGACGCCCTGAGGACTTTCCTTTACAAATTGCGGGTGAACTCCACTTCCATGTGAATGAGTCGGAGTGGATTTTCTTTTGTGGTGAGGGGTGGGTGGAGAGTATGCCAATTCTGCTTGCGGTCAGGAGTTATGTTGATTCAAAGGGCGATGAACACCAGAATTCGGCCAGCCGTTGAACCTCCGAAGACTCCAGTTGCAGAACACTTGAATAAACAACCCAGCGACCAAAGGAACCACTCCTACGACCCTCTTGTCTTGAGATGAATTCTTCCGCAGTCGTTTCCAGCAGGGGCTCCAAACATGGCCCGATGGACGAACCGTGCCAAACCTAGACGAAAAAGTCAAGGACATTGGCCGCCCGCGTGCCTGCAGGCGGGGTGAGGAATTGTTACATTAAAGCATGGTTTTGCCGCAGAAGAGGCCCAAAAGAGTGTGTTAGTTTTGATTTTTTTTTTGGTGTGTGTGTGTTTCTTTGTTTAAAGCATTTCTTTATCCGTGTGATGGGTTTGCCACCTGGTTCAGGATGCGTTCCTTGATTCGCAGATTCCTACTTCTTGAGTAATGATGATGAGTCATGATTTTACCGCATATTTCCCGTGTAATGTTTTTTTTTTTTTTTTCCGGCGTCATGTGATTCACTTACCATTCCCCACTCTCCTCTTTCCGCACGGTCCTCGTCGCATCAATGGCCCCTCGATTAGACCGGCAAAACCGCAGGTGGGACATTGACAGAGCAATGTTCAACCCCATCATCTTCCAGGCGAACAAACATTCGCGCGCGAACCCTCCCCGGCTCGCGTGATCGGGAGGCCCATTTCCAATTTGGGCTGTGAACGTGGGATTGGGCATTGTATCGATCTATATACTCGCAATATGAAAAACTGTGTTTTTGTCATTGTATGAAACCCATTTTGCCCTTTCACGAGAGGGGCGCTTATTCCGGGGCGCTTGTTCCCCGTGAGCGGGACCTTGTCCTATGCCCTTGCCCAACGGTCTCTTTTCTCTGCGAGGCGCCGCGGGCCTCCTACAACAAGAGCTCCTTTCCGCGGAACCTCTGCACCATCCCATGGAATCCGATGATCTCACCAGGTGTGGAGACTTCTTTCGGAGCGAAGAACATCTGGGAAGGGATGATGCCAGTTGTTCGTCGTTTTGGGCAAGCGGGGGGTCGGTTCTTGTTTTCAATGTGGAAGGATTGCATAGGATTGTCTTTTTTTGACTTTTGGGGATTCCGGTTGGCAGTTTGGATGTGTGTTTTCATATGTTTGCACTTTCAGTAGGTTGGGAAGATATCTCCTACTTTTCAGTGGGTCATGTCACAAATTTGAGGCTGGAAAGAGGCACAATTAAAGACTCCCATCCCCACCCGGTGGCGGTCAGGAACCAAATTCATGTGGAACCACTCCGCAATTCATGCGCTGTCTTGGAGGGATCACCAAGACAACATCTCTTCATGAGGGATTCCCAACAACAATTCAGCATGAGCAATAGGTTTTTGGTAGTTAATTTGTTTTTTAGAAAACAATGGAGACATTGAATTGGACATAAATCTATCGGCTGAGGGATTAGTGAAATTATAGAGTCTATTATAGAGTATCAATGGATTGAAGAAAGAGGAAACACATTAGAGAAGACAGATGCGCCAAATCAATCGCAGTAGGCAGGGGATCTAAGTACCGTATTCTTTTGGACATTTTGGCCGACAGTTTTTGACAGGTGGTGAGTATTGCAGGAAAAAAAATCAGGGCGAATTCTCATTTGGTGAATTTAGCCACTGGTCACACCCTTGTGCTGTACTGGTAGCCCTAAGATCTCTTTGAGGCCTTACACATTTCCACTAACTCTTTCTTGGGTGATCCCAGCTGGGTGGAATGCTCCTTGGATCCACCAACACAGTCGCTTTTTGCTGGGATCCATAGGCGCCAGCCCTTTCACAAACACTTTGTTCGCTGCCTTTCTTTCGTATGATTCTCTTCCAGAAACATCCTTCATATAATTCATGACACCGAAGAAAGGATTTTGAAGGATGTTTTCTAAAATTCAATCCAATCAATGGCCTTTGAATTGGCCTTTGAACGCAGAAGATTTAGAAGGATTTCGTTCGAAGCGATTCTTCGCCGCCAGAACGCACGGGCCCGGGGGTGCCGTGCCTGTGGTTCCCGGCGCCGAAAGCGGCGACGGTGGTCATGTGCCTTGGAAGCGAGGATTTCGGGAGGCTTTCGGCGTGGGAAGAGGCGGCGACCTCCTCCAGATGTCTCCAGCGCTAACGAAAGCACCTGGATTCTGTGCAAAGTAGTATGAAGTAGTTAGTGTTTGATGGCGTGTTGGCTTTTAAGGAGTCTTACATATATTCTTACGCTGACGCTCCTTAATCATTTGTTGGCTTATTTTAAGGATTGTTATTATGTTAGTTAATGTAAGGTGGGTTGAAATTTTGGAATCAGAAGGAAGTTGTCCATAGCCTATCAGTCACGGTAGGGTTGCTGCCTACATGTGTTATCAGATTCAATAGGGCGCATGACTGCATGAGTGCATGATGACTTCTCCATCAAAAGGGATTGCTTCGATGTCTTTTGCGTTGCTGGAAACCCCTTTTGGATTTTGTTGGAACGATGAGCTTTGTTGAAACGATTTTGGTTTCCCCCGGAACGATTCCAGGATTTTTCGTGGGGGCAGACTATCTATCTCTACAAAGGCCTCTTCACATCCTCTCGTTTTATGCAGATTGCTCTGCTGACACACCTCTCACTCCAATATCTCACAGAGCAGTCTGGTCATGCAATTTTTGCCCGAGACAGTTGACGAACCGGACTTTTCCAAAGATCATGTTCAGGTGTGCAAGGAATCTCGTTGTCAAGGCAAACAGACCATAGATTGTGCAGAGCTTGCCTTCGCATACCCTGGATGATTACCATGAATCAAGTGCATCCATCTTTACAGACTGCTCCGACCTCCTATGTCATGATAAGTTAAGAAAGCAAGCATCCACAGTCCCCTTAAAAGCTATGCTTGAGCTAGCAGCCATGCCTATAAATTCCTAAACTCAACTCGCACTGAGAACTTGCTGCAACCATCGACAAGTTTGATGAACGAAACATCCCAGGCGACTCTGCAAACTCTTCAAAACATGTCCATTACAGGCCCTGTGTCAAGAAGTTCAACAGCAGCAGGATCAACTACTGCAACAAATTGATCAATCTTTACTATATATCTACAATTTATTAAACACACATCATGTTTGAACTATTTATATAATTTAGCAGACTTCGAGCAACACGTTTCAATGAACAAGAACAAACGACAGTCAAGTCAGGTTGACTGTTTTCCGCATCCACCGCGCTTGAAGGACTTGAGCAACATGACCCTTCTCACGAGCTCAAGTGTCTTCAATCTGAAGTTCAACCTTCATGCAAAATTCCACTAGAAACTCCGCTTCGCACAAACATCATCACAACAGGTTCCCCCTAAAACGTGCGCCAAATCGTCTTTTTCGACCGGATTTCCGACCGTTACCGTTCCGACCTCCGGCCGCGCCCAATCTCACGGTACCAGGTACTTCCATGCGAACTCGGAGGACATCGGCACCGCTTTTCACTTTGTGAAGCACATGCGGGACCAATTCAAGGCGTGTGGACTCGGGTGCAGGGTGGATTTCTGAGGAAAGAGAGGGTGACATATATATATATTATATTATATATATATATTCAATATTTGGTTCTCACTGCCGATGCACGGATGGGTGATAGTCGTGCGCTTTGGCCGATTTGTAACATGTAACATTTTGTAGCATAGCAGACTCGGTCGCCCAGTAGAAAGAAGAACCGTTTTTTTTGGGGGGCTCGCATTGTGAGTGGCTGAAGTCCAAGTTCCAAAGTTCTGAAGTTCTCAATCGATCGGAACAAAAGTCAGGTCGACACCGTGAAAACTCGACCGTTTGCCCTCCGGTGTTCGGCTGCCCCCCCCCCGGCCCCCGCTACCCGAGATCTTCCGAGGGCAAGGATAGATCGAGCCTACTCTCCGAATAAATCTCATGGGCACCACGTGGATGGCAGTATACCTGTTTTGTGGAGGAAAGTTGTGTCATCCGTTGGGGCCATGGCCGTCCACGTGTATGTGGTGCAATGAAATCAAAGAGTGCTAAAATAGCCTCTGGCCGCCACTGCTGTTTGTGCCAAACAAGTTGAGCTGTGTGCATAGATTACATAATTATTACATAGTATAGATTAATGGTCACTTAAAACTGAACACCTTAAGACGGTAGCAGAGCACGCTTTTTTGAATTCTTGCAGGGCACTCCCTCATAGCTTTTGAGCCCTTTGGAGCCTTGGAACTCTTGGTGTGTCACTCAAATGTAGAGAAAATCATGGAGGTCACTGCTGTTGAAGACCGGGTCACGCCTGAAGAGGCCTGAAGACGAAACTCGCTTTCGAATCCCAAAGACCACCGGGTCACCCACTCGGGAGAATCGAAGCGACATGGCGCAGCGAAGCAACATGTGGCTTCTGTGGTCAGGAGGGAAATCGGGGCTGTGAGTGTTGTCACTGCCCCCCACAGGGGTTAGCAGGTTGGGAAGAAGGTGGGAGGTCCATTTTGGTGCAGAACCCGGGCCTCCACCCCGGTTCTTCGAACGCCCGACGTCGCGATGCATGAAATCAAGAACTCGCGGACCGGTGATGCCTATGGTGACGGCGGTGCGTCAATCCACGCACCTGATGAGAGTGCTGAGGTGAATGTCATCTCAATTGAGTATCCGGGCTATGGCCTTCTACAGGGCATCGAGCCCAATGAAGAGGCACCACGGAAAGAATCACAACGAGGGCCTAAATTGGCGGTGATCCGCTTGGAATCCGAGGATTGTTGTTTCCTTGTATTTAATGGTCCAAGGATTGGGCTTTTTTTTGGCCCTGTTCAAAGCAATGGTGTGGTTTTTGAATGAAGTCGGTGGGTGTCGGAAACCGTCTAACGATGATTTGGGCAGCTATGAGATACATGTTTCATACATGTTTGAACCTGCATGCGCTGCTCCAGATAAGGGAGGATAGGGCAGAGTGATTTACGTTTTCCTCTTTGTTTGTTCGACAAGGCTGCCCTGTTTTGCTGCATGAACCATCTCCGAATCATCTCTAGGGCCCGGTGGACTGGGCATTTGAACAGAGAGGTAGCTGGACTTGAATCCTACTAGAAAAGCTACCCTTTTCAAACTTCAAAAGATGTCCATATAAAGCCACACAGTTTTGATTGATCGGATCAAGATACCGGAACTGCTAAGCTAGTGCCACCAGAGTGGGGTGTTTTTGCACCGCTCCCCCAAGTAAAGCCTCAGAGGACTCAGTCAGTATCATTGCAACTAGTGGAAGTACTTCTTGCACGTGTGGGTGTCCAATCTATTGAAAAGTACTGACGAGAAAAGGATCCAATCCAGTGCATTGGATCTCTAGGAAACTGAAATTCACCAAAATTCACTAAAAGCATGAAAAGCACCCTGAAGATGTTGTGGAAGACAAATCCATATCACTCCTTGCGTGAGTCATGACATATCATCGAAGCCACACCATCTTGCGAAGTGGCCAGACCATTTTCGAAGTGGCCTTGACAGTCTTTAGACGCCTGGATTGTCGATGGGTGGGCCTCCAGGGGTGATCGATGGTTGACGGGAACATGTGTGAAAACAGCATGAATTCTGCAAGCAGCACAGGCTATACATATGGCTACGTGGGGATCAAGCGAAACAACACAGGCTAGGCTTAGGCTACTTAGAATCTATTGCTTTAACAGTTCATGGCTTTATATAATTATAGAGGTCCCAAAAGGTTTTTTAGTGCGGTTCATTGCCATTCATTGATCGATCTTTTGACCTTCCTGCCCCCTACATCCCCCTACAACACCGTCATGAAGTCTTGATAGCCAACATGATAGACAATTATAGCTGTAATTGCAGTAGCAGATTTACAGCGTGATAGTGTTGCAAAAATGCATAAAGACAAGCAGTTGATTTGGACATGTCCATCACATGTGCTGCTCGCTGATGCCGTGGGAACCTTACGTGATCTTGCCTGGACTGGGACATGTGACCTGGGCAATTGGAAGATCCTCAAGGCACCAACTCCACACTTTCACTCACTTCCAAGTAGGAAGTCCTATGATTGTTCATCCATTTTCTGCATTCAAGTCCTAGGGCTTCTTTTCTTGCCAACCACAGCACCTCAAGTCCTCAGCGTTGGCTGTTCACGGATGTTCACGGAATGGTGATCGAGACGCCCTATATGATCGCCGTCTTCCTTTGTGGCTTCCTCTCGCTCCGAGGATATCTGGTGGACGAGCTACGCGTCTCGTACTCCTCAGTGATCGTCTTTGGGCGCTCCTTAGGCAGCGGCCCAGCGATCTTCCTGGCCTCCCAGCACCTCGGCAGCACCGGTTAGAGCACTGGTTAGTCGCCACACAGTCATGGACAGAGAAGGCAAATATCAACCAAAAGTGCGATTCGGCCGATCGCTGGAATTATTCAAGACCCTTCTTTGACCTTGTGTGCAAGTTGTCACGTCTAACTGTCAACAACCTGCGATGCCTCCAGACTTTGTTTCATTCGTTTGGCTCCTTATACTATTTTGGATTGTCCTATTCCTTCATGCTATGCTGCTCCCTCCCCCCTCCCAAACCCCCTCCCAAACCTACAAAATTTGTTGCTCATGCTTTGGCTCGCGTGGCAGTTGCTCATGAAAAAAGGGTTTTCATTGGAATCCCTCTCCATGAGTCTTGGATAGCCACATTGACATGAGTTGGCCCAAAACCTTCTTTACCTTCAGGGGAGGAGCTATTCATGCCCTCACATTAAGTGTTGGGATAGGAGCGTATTGTCGGGAGAGAGATAGAAAAGCTCCTGTGATTTTGAAGCTTTCTAAATATGGTCGTGGCTAATGATTTAATGGTGTGGTCCATTGAGGGGTGTGTCAAGACTTCGTAAACTCACAGCACCTGGTAATGACCCTACCCAGAAGATCCCATAGTTGTCAAAGCCTTTTCACACCTGGCACTTCGGTAATGCCTGCGAAACCAAGTACCGATATGGATGGATATGGCCACCAGCACCACCCCGGCTTGCTACCAGCGCTCCCAGGTATCCCTTGGGCGGCATGATCTTGGTTTCGCCCTTCATCTCCATCCGAGCAGCTGCCCGACACATCGGCGGGCGCCTGGTTGCTTGGATGAAAACGGCACACGGGGCGGAAACCGCGCGCGTGTTTTTGTAGCTTCGGACTAGGTGGTTAAATGGATATGCAGCAGGTTGTTGGCTTATTTAGCTTGCTATGAAGCATGCTAAAGGATTCGATGTATATATATATATATCTTTCGGAAAGGTAAGTGTATCAGAGAGTTCCATCATATGTATATACTGTTACTGTATACTATACCCGGACCCAGACACTCCGTGCAAGTAATATGCCTACATTGACCCCTGTTCAACCACCCCAATGTAGACATCTATGCCAGTCCCATGGAGCTGGGATATAGTTTCTGCTCAGGATGTGATCGGGAGCTGGCAAAGAGCGGAGCCAAGAAGGGAGTTGCCAATGGAAAATACTTAAAGGCCACCACTATAGGCATCCACTTGCTTCATATTTGTTTACGGTCGACTCAGCCCATCTTTCTTTCAGGTAGACTCTCGAAACCAAGCCCTGAGGACGCATGGTTCAACCGGTCCGGTCCGGTTTGTCGGGATTGCTTCAATCGGTTGCTGCTCGCGGGCCTTTCCGTTCAACACCTCGGGCCTTCCGTTGTGCACGGCTGATCCCAGGTGGCTTTCATGTTTAGCAATGTCTTCCAGAACCACCGGAGGAAAAGGGGGAAAGGGCTGGGCAGCGAAAGCCAAGAGATCTGCAGAGATGAAACGCTGAGAGCATCCTTCTTAATCAACAACAGGGTTTGGATCCTTCTTGTACATCCTCAAGGGCTAGTTTGACCCGCCTTCAACAACTTCACAGGGGGTCACAGACTTGCGACAGGATTCGAGGCAGTGGATCCCTAGAAAGGAGCAAGCTGCAAAGCCGATGATACTGCGATGGATTCGGCTTTCCCCGAACCGCCACAGATTTGGTGGCCAAATGTCACACTCTGGTGTGTCTCTCACCCCAAAAGTCTGGTATTTGGCTTTGTTTGCCGATGCTTGAACCAAAATCATTTGTTTTGTTCAATGCAGGGAGAAGGTCTCAACTATCTACCAATCTACCGACTGTCGTGGTTCCGTGGAAACACCCTCCCGGATGTTGAAACCTTTGTCGACGGTTTCTGACCCACAGAATCTACCATCAGCACATTTCAAGAAGCCATCGGCTTCTCCCAGTGCCAATGGCTTCTCCCCCAGTGGCTTTCTATCTCGGAGTGGCTTCTCCCGCCATTCCTTCAGTGGCCATTCCCCCATTGTCTTCGGTCAAGTCCCACCAGACCCACCAGGGACATGCACGAGTAGCTACGAGACTCGGTGGTTTCTGCTTGAAACCTCGAGGCCCCAGTAGCCATCAATCACACAAGAATCATGCCCGAGGTTCTTTAAGCGTTGTTATGCGTTGTTGTTCTGAAAACACCCAGGGTATCAATGCTAAGCCCATTCCCAGCCTACGCTTTCCCTAAAGGCCAGATGTCACTTCAATGTGGTGCATTTGCAAATCATCACGCAAGAGCCGCGCCAGGATCGTGAATGTCTCTTGCCCAGTGCTTTTCATCCACGGGGTGACTTGGACGCCAGGACTTCTGGGGTCTCCCCACCATCAGGGTGCGTGGGGTCATGTCCGGCAGGTCAAAAAACTCCTGTTGTTAAGCCAAGCGCGCTTTTGGAGTTGTCACTTTCCCCATACCTGTCTATAGATATACGTGCACCAACCCTGATTTTCCCTTGGTTGACAGGACACCCTGTAGGTCGACAAAAACGGGTCGCTTCTCGTCCGCCTGCCCGACGCTACTCGAAGGGGACCGACCGCTCGCCCGAGGCCAGCGACAGCCTGATCCCTGTGGAACACTCCAAGACGTTGTTCGGCGTGTGCCGCTCGCGCAAGCTCCTGGTGACACCGGCGAAGATGGATCACAATAGCAGCATGTTTAGCGATCCGCCTCATGGACGAAGGGGGCTTCGCGGTGATGGGATCCATCGGAGGTTTGACACACTGGCCTGGTGGCCCCCCGTCGGGGCCGACAAAGGGTGGCAAGGCCGCAAGCCCTGCCCACAGTGGCATGATGCTCAGAAGCCTACAGTGGAAAGCATTAAATTCCTGGGCCACGTGTCACCTACATATATTTCCTTGATTTATGTTTGGGCTTTTGTACATCCTGAGCCATGACAGCCGTTTGCATGAATCGATGACCCCCCTATATACAGTAGCTGCTATAGAGCTGCTTGAAACAGTAAGAAAGTAGGCTAGCAGTGTTGCATGCTGCGTTGTGGAATAGTCACAGCTGCCCCTACTTCGTTCTGAGCCACATCACGCTCCAAATTTGTTTAATATCAACAGATCCTTGCGGGCTATTGGTCCCACTCAGAATGAGAGGATCAAATCACCTATATTTTGGTATCTCCTTCCCCACCACTTGATCCTGGCCATCATCCTGGCCACCATCCTCTAGCTGGTCATCCGGGCACCCTACGTCACCCACCACTTCTCCGCATTGAATCAGCAACATCTCTCTCCGCTGGTCTCCACATCAGGAACTCCTTCGCCGTGCCGGCCATCCACTTCTTCGGCTTCCCAGGCTGGCGCACCTTGACGCCACCCTTCATGCCCTTCGTGCCTTGGAGAACACGGTGAGAGCGGTGAGGACCGGTGGCGAGGGGTGAGGACTGGTCGCCTCACCTTGGGTCGTTGATTCGGAAGAGTGAACATCCCGGATGGTTGAGTCGAGGGACGCTCTTCAGATTTGATTAGGATTGGAAAGGTTTGGAGACAATAAGACATTATTCTGAGTTTGGTGTTTATATATATATAGAGAGAGAGTGCCCGATGTTACCAGCTGTTGGTTGTTTTAGGTGCATCAGCAGTAGATGATTGATTTGTTCGCCTTGGTATGAGCTCAGACAAACTCCCGGTGATCTAAACGCGGAATTGAACCACAGAGACTGGGTGTGTCAGGTGATGAGGTAACAACAAACTGAAATCAGGAGGCAGCTTGAGCCGTTTTTTAGCACGATTCCACACATGTTTTGGACGACGCCATCCCGTCTCGTTGGCGGCCTCTTGCGGCGGATTCGACCCAAGGATCTCTTCGAAGCGCATAAGAGCGACGAGCCCGCACTGTGCCTTGGCGAAGCGACGGACCCGGCCTAGCGTGCCGTCACCGTTTGCCACAGTCGGACTAGAGGGGGCGCACCCAGTGGCAGGGTCCAATCAACGCCCTCCAGTTTGGAGGGTCCAGGGTCCTGCTGGATGGGTAGGGGAAACAGACGGATTCCAAGAAAGAAAGAACCGAGCCATTGCATGCAATCGCCGACTTCTTTTGCATGGCTATCGCATGGCTATCGATGGTGGACGTTACCATGCTTTACTTGTGAGGTGCGCGCTATCCTTAGGGGTTCTTTGGCCCCCGGCTTTGCGAGGTCGTGGAACACACCATGAACATTGTAGATGGGTTCATCGAGTTGGGGCCCCCTGTTCATAGATGTTGTCTTGTTTATGCCATCCACTTCCATTGTCCATGTGAGTGTGTCAGCGTATACACTTTCCATCTGGAAGGTCCAAAACCAGGTCCAGATGGTCCAGTGGCGCCCCAGCTCCTGCTTCGAAGCGTTTCAACGCGACGGTTTTCCGCGTAGTTCCGTACCCGGCTCAGACGCTTGCCGACACGAACGCCGTTCCGTTCGAGTTCTGCACGGTTTTCGTCTCTGCATCACAGGAGAGAAGCAGCAGGCAAGAAAGGGGAGGCCAAGCTCGTCCGAGATGTGACAGGGTGGTTTCATTGGACTGGACTGATGACATTTGAGCTATACTTATATGGACGCTATTCTCACTGGTTTGGCCAGGTAGGACCTACGAGAAACACACAGGATGCAACAAAAAGGATAGGTTTTGGTCATGTTGGTATTGTTCTCCCAGTTGTTTTGAGTATTTATGTTCTCAGACAAATGTTATGGCCATCGCCATTTGGAGGCCAAATCGACCTCTCTCGACAGGAAGTCGATCCTGTCGAAGTGGAGACGTGAAAAACAGAAAAAACACATCACCCCTGTGTCTAGTGGTACATGACATCCAGTCGTTTGCCCTCAACTGTGAGACAAACATGGTGAGACACAAGATGTCCCTTGGATTGGGCCCAGAGAGACGGACGGACCATGTGAGAAATATGAGGCATTGCGGCATAGCAACATAACCTATAGAGCCCAATATTGACGTTTGTTTTGAAATGGCCGGTATTTTGGGTAATGGCTGGTCCATTACAAAGGTCACTCAGGGTCTGGGTCTATAATCAGTTATGTCATCTACTTGGTGCCTGGAACACATACCAAAATCGCGCGTCTCAAAACTGATCGGCACTCAAAAACGTTTATTATGTTGAGCATTGAGCCAGCGGACATGCGGACATCTCTTAAGCCTTTTCTCTTTGCGACTCGCTACTCGCGACCAGGTCACTCCACGGACTCACGATTCGTCCACCGCAAGCGAGTAGGAGTTTTTCTCCCAGTCGGAGCCATGCTGAGCCATGTCGTTCTGTGTCTTTGGAGAATCTTTGCTTCGTTCTCGTGGAAAAGAAACACCGAGAAATGGGCGCCACCTCGGCCGACCGGTCTGATGCCGGGTTACACGACCAACGCGGCCGTAATCACGCGGCGTTATACGCGAGAAACTCGGCAGGGCCCTGAGTCCTGGCTCTACAACTGCTGCGGCAAGCTCTCGGAGGAAGCGACACTTGAAGCTGTTGATCAGGGACGTGCATCGGGCCATGACGAGTTTTGCTTGACACTGACAAGGGAGTTGGAGATGGCCCCTTTTTGGGGGAGCCATCTCCAAAATGTCACAGGCTTGGTCAGTGTTTGGGAGGTGGACACTTGCATGGCCATTGCGTGGCTTAGACTGAGTAGACTGGCAGGCATTGCAAACGGACATGCCAACAATGTGTCAACCACAAAGCTTGGATAGCTTGGGAATGCTTGACAATACGGTGACAATCACATCTCAGGCAGGTGCCCACCCGAACACCAACTGTGCTCCCAACCCGAACCGACTCCGAAAAGGGGCAACCTACCGACTGCGTCTGTGCGGCGATGTGTATGTTGTTCGAAGCCGAAGGATTTTGGGGTGGCACAAGACGCAACGTATAGACCTTGAACGATCCGGATCCAACGTTCGGCTGCTGTGTTTGTTCTGCCGTTCAGTTTACACCACCCGTTCAGTTTTCGGCTGCTCTGTTCAGTATGTTTTACACTGATTTAGACATCTTCGTGCACCTGAAACATGAACAAAGCCACATAGCAAAGTCAGTTGCAACTGTGAGCAGGACTTCCAAATATTTGGGATATCTAGTTGGTTTTGCACGGACTCCCGGACTCTTGGACTCACCTCAGTACCCGTTGTTGCACCACATGAGGTTTGTTCACGTCCCGTCTCGGCCGCACCCGCACTGGCTCATCAGACCGTCCCACCGCGGAGCGTTCTCCCGCGACGGCCAACGCTGAGGAGTGACCAAGTCCTGGTGCGGCAGGAGAAAACCCTCCAGGAAGAGTGCGTCCAAAACGACTATGTCGCTCGAAAGACACTGAAAGGTATTTGGGATGTGACCATGTGGGGTTGCTCAACTCTCAGCATGCGATGATGGGGAGCAACAAAAAGTGTGAAGTGCTTGATGGTTGGGCTTGGCCTTCTGGCACCACAGTCCCACAGTCCAGGGGCGAAGTGGGTCGATCCTGAGAGAAGACTCTACAGTATCCACCGGGTCGAATCTTGGAGCGAACGACCAAACTAGTCCGGGTCACAAATGATATCAAATGACCTTTACTATACTGCTTGGGACACCCCCAGGTGAATCAACAACTTATAAGCCGTATATACGGTATGCAGCGGTTTGAGTGCACTAAATATTAGGGTCCCCAATCGACACCTGGTTTGGATCTGGATCTTGGCTTTGGGGGTATGGGTTGAAAGGTTCACTGGGCAGCACTGGAGTTGGTGCACAAGTGTGAAGCAAAGAGGTAAATACTCCCAACCTCCTTTGTAGAAAGAACACCTCCTATGTAGAAAAATCAACTACTAGTATGTAGACAGTTTGTGTAATTCAATTTAAACGATTCTTCCGGATTGGGCACAAGTTCTTTTTCAGATACTCTGTGTTGGTGGACGAAACCCTCACCTGAAGGCTCTCCAAAGGTAACTCCGTATGTCATAGTCCGAAGGTCTTCCCCCATCTCGGTGCTTTGCAAGAAAAAATCGTATGGTCCATCCGCCCAGTTGTCCAGTTTTGAGTGTCAAAATCGCATTGACGACTGTGACTGTGACGGTGTTTTGATCAAATCAGATCAGATGATTAACAACAATGTAAAACCCACCATTTGGATTAAACACCTATTCAAGCTTGGGAGTTTATTGATCACAGTCTGTGCATGACAGCAAGTAAACTCGACTCGACTCCCCTTTGCAAACTATATATATATATATATGAACAACAATGCCATTCCGAACTCTCGAGCGTTGACACACATGGAGCCAGGATGCGGATCGGGATTCGGTATAAACCTCCATTGACAAGTTGTGAAAGTGAACCTGAGAAACCGTTTGGCTGTATTTATTCCTTCAGCTGTTTCTTGTCGTTGTCGTTGTCGTTGTCGTGTTGTTGTCGTTGTCGTTGTCGTTGTCGTTGTCGTTGTCGTTGTCGTTGTCGTTGTCGTTGTCGTTGTCGTTGTTGTTGTTGTTGTTGTTGTTGTTGTTGTTGTTGTTGTTGTTGT